CTTCCTATTGTTTTTGACTTGTGTTTTAATATGTTGGCTAACGTTATATGAAGATTAAGAATTCTGTCAGGCTATTGATTGATTTTCCATTGTTCTGCATTTCCCCAGCTGATTTGAATAAATAAGCTATGCTTTGACCGACGTTAGTGTATACTCTTCTTTTTATTTTTATTTTTAACGACGCCCTAAAATGAAATGATGATAACGCGAGGCAAGTGTGCGGCAAGCGAATTCATTGAGGGATTTGACAGTGTGATTCATAGATTAAGTATTTCAAATATAGGCTATGCTACACGCACGCACAGAGGTTTTTTTTTCTTACCATCTTTTGGGGGTTTCTTGCTTTTAGACTAGTCGACTAGTCGGATACAAAACTTTCGTTTAAACGTCAGTCAAATTAGTCGTCACGCACATCCCTAATAAATATATATATATATATATATTAGTGTTGTCAAAAGTACAGAACTAAGCTTCTGTCACCAGAACAAATTCCTTGTATGTGCAAACATACTTGGCAATAAATCTCTTTCTGAATGTGATTCTGACTTAGTTATTATTGTATCAAAAAGCATAAAACTTTTTTTTTTTTGCATATACATTATTTGATGCTGAAACATAAAAAAAAAATATTGCATTCATCATAAAAAGAAAAAAAATTCGTCATACCGTCTCCTTAACTGTTTTTGTAGTAAGATGAAGCCTTGTGTGCCACACTTTGGAAATATGTTCCAGGACAGCTAGTCATCTTGAAATAAATTGGTTATCATGGGACAGAAGTCTTGCCCCAAACCAGCTGTACTTCCAAATAACTGGCATCTCCTCTCTCATGCATGGGATGAATGCTAAATATAATAGTGTTGTTGATCTACTACTACAAAGTGCATTAGCTTTTTTTTTCTTTTTTTTTTGGTTGTTGGCGAGGGCCTCTAAACAGTGTCTCATTGGCTATAAATAGAGCCTGTGCTTGTCAAAGCTGCCTGCCATCAGGTAAGCGTCTTAGACCAAACACTTGCCATTTCAAATTGACTGCCTATCTGTGTGTCAAGCAAGTGAAAGGCACTCTTTACGGTCCTCTCAATGACAGTCAGTGCATCAGGGCTCTACAATGCGACCATTTCAGTGCAACTATGAAAATTTTTTTAGGAGCACCAGTGCGACTGACCCGATCATCATCATATTTGTGATTGTGCTCAGGGGAGCTTCAAAGGTTTCTACGTTTTTTTGCAGTGTTGAGTAATGTATCACAGACATATCTCATGAATCCTTTTATAAGCAAAGTGTAGACAGGGTGTAAATAAGAGATTCATTGCGCAGTGTAGAGAGCTTTGTTGATTATAAATGTGATACCGCGATGAACTAAGATGAGTGACAGCTTTTAATGATTTTTAAGGGAGTTTGTAAATGTGATACTGATTTAATACAACAGTTCAATAAATAATATTAAGTGACTTACATTGTCTGACTATAACACATATTTGATTTTTAACTTATGTTTCTTATTCTACTTGTTCTTATTCTGTCGTTTTAATTACAATTTTTAATAAGCTTATAAAATATAATTTTTAAAGAATTTGACAAAAGATGACATACTTTTAATAAAGTTAGAAAAATGCCATTACAAAGGTAAAAACAAAATTCCACTGTAAAACACTTTAAGGAGTCAAATATCACCTCGTAAT